ATCATCATTTGAGATTTTCGCTATTGTTTTACAAATATTCTTTACAAGATTTACAAGGTATTTAGGCATCTCAGATGTCTTGTTGTTTTCCTACTGTTTGCTCGCGTGTCGAATCGCAGCATGTTGGCTCCAAAGATTACGTTGTTGCAAAATGTGCATGCTAAACCTATAATTAAAAACGCTATTCAATAATTTATTGTAGAGAAATCGGTCAAGACTGAGAGAAACACAATTTACATGTACGTGTCCAAGGTTGCCAAAAGATTCAAAGGTCAATGGAACTCAGTGGTAACTAAATCGCTCAACTTTATTCCGTCTCAATCTCGTACGATGTCTCACGCGAGAAAAAAACTTAAAGATTTAAATAAACAGAAAAGAGAACTAAATCAAAACGACTATTTTTTTTTTCACATGCGGAAAATGGTGCGGAACCAAGGAGTCTATTTTGGAGTGACTTTTTAAAGGAACAACAACATGTATGTGACTCGAACAACATGTATGTGAATCGTTTCAATTTTCCCATTACGAATGACAAAGATTAATTGCAGTCATTGTAATAATGTTGTCGCCGATTTGGCATTGGATTTGTGACAGTCTGTTGATCGGCTGTATAATTAAGCTATCTGTTTTTAAAAATATCTTACCCAGACAGCTTTGATGCTTTAAAATTCTCGGATCGAATCGCCGTCTCAAATTTGGTTGTGTCGGATTCTATAATTTACCTAAATCGGCTTTGAAGGAATTACCCCGATCGGCTAAAAGTCCTTTCGCTATAGGGTACAGAAGTCCTTCAACTATATAGCGAGATCATTTTATAATTCCCGAGTTCGGAAAAGATGAGCAATCTTTTCAACTGCGTAACAAATTTTAACTGGCCCTACTTCTCTTACTGTACTCGACTTTCCTTGATGCTATCGCTTTTTTCCTTGTTTTTTCAAACCAAGCCAGCACATGTGCTTCTTAAGAATATTTCATAAGTGAGAGTTTCATTTCAACTCCAATAAATAAAATTATGTGGTTAAAATCACTGCAAAATCGACATTTTTGGTTGCTGCGACTCGGTAGAATCGTTATAATCAGTAAGTTACTTGTTCGTGATATTGGTTACAGGAATATTCTCGAGAGAATATTCGAATCCTAAAACTGTTTACCCTCTTCAGCTGCAGAGAGCTCGATAGCGAATATTTTAAATGCTGAGACGGAAGGAACTCGCTTTAAAGTCAAAGAATTTTAAGGCGAGATACTATTCTACTTTACTAAAAAATGTTTACTCACTTGGTACGGAGTTGGACAGCTCACAAAACGATAGTACTATTCCGACAAGCAAGGGAAACATTGTCCCTTTTGTGTCTGATATCTAGAAACAACTGGTAAAGTGTTGATCTTTGTCAAGCCTTCAAAACAATAGCGTGGGGGGTTACTTTATGTAAATTTCGCGTTTGGCGCCGCTTGCACCGTCAATGAATTAATTTCAATACCTCACGCAATCATTTGTTTACACTCACATCCTACAATTTTTCAACTTTCCTTTCTTTCTTGGGCTCAATGCAACAGTAATTTTTATATAACTCAAGTTATACTGTGAGTTCGAGTGGGTTGCTAAAATTATCGCTAACTTAATCGACTCCAGCCAGCCACTTTTTTGCCCGGTTGCATGCCAAACAAAATTTATGCACATTTTGTCTAGGAACGTAACCGCAATGTCATCAGATATTTAATCATTTCAAACAGGATTTATTTTTCTCGATCAACATCGTTCCCAGGGTCCTCTCATGCTCTCTTTGCGGCGTAGCCTGGAAAAGAGACTGACTCATGCTCCCTCGTTTGTCAGGCATTTGAGCGGCAATTTACGAATCAACGGGGTCGTAGACACTTCGTGCCTCGCCGATTTCTAGGTGAAAAGTTTTTCAATAACGACTAAAGCGTGTTCTTGCAAGACAGGAAGCCTCGGCGCCTTGGACGATAAATTGTGACTTTTAATCGAGTTCTCAATTTTTTTTGCCCCCTGGCGGTCTGAGTGAAAAATGAACAGAATAACAAATGAATAAATAAATATTTAAATAAACGAATGAATGGTTAAACAGACGAAAAAAGCCCTCTGATAACCGTGAATTTAGTCTCTCAGTATTTTATGATAAGGCTTAAGCTCTTTTCGATTGGATGTCGCAAAACCAAAACTAAGGCCAAAAAAAACAGCCGATTAGAAAAAAAATTATATAATATCTCTATATAAGAGCCAAACATAAATCCAAATAAAGATAACCCAACTACCTGAAGCGCTGGAAAACGCGGGCGGTGATTAATTTTAGTTCTGCGTCTGATTGGTCTAGAGAGTGGTGCGAGTTTTTTTTGACCAATCACATTACGAAGGAAAATGAGCCAACGCAATTTCGGAATATTTTCAACATTCAATTGGCCATTGCTTTGAAATTAAGTGAAAAGTGCAATTAACTTTGCGAGAAGATAAGTAGACAGTAATGTTAATGTACTCTTGGTAGGTATTGTCTCGTCTCCTAGGCGCCCCCAAGAAGGTCTGGTTTTAACAGCATGTAAGTTCTCCATACTGTTTTTACACATTTCCTATGGAACTTACCAAAGGAATTTGTCTTACAGTCAAAAGCTTCTTGCGTTTGCGTTCATATCCTTTGCTCTCAAGAACTTAATGTTTGATTCAGAGGTAATACTGTTGGGAGAAATAAAGAGAATGTAAACTGGTTCATAATCTCTTGAATAAATTAGTTGCTAATCACTCTTCGGAGTTAAAGGAGTTGTTCCGTTAACTCACGTATCACTGATGAGGCTCTTAAGGCTATAGAGCGTGCGTGGGTCGAGGCTTTTTCCCATGTCAGCTTAAAGAACTAGTTGAGAAGCACGTAAAATCAACTTTTTTCTTTTTATTTAACAAATAAAGAAGCCTTGACCGTGTTATGTTCTGTTGTAAAGCACGCAGAAAGCGGCCAGAGCAGAAAGAAGCACGTCTCGTTTCCCCCCTACTTCTTGAGTCAAACTCAAAAATTTTGCTTTTAGCTTTTAAGTCTAATTACGCAATTTTGAAATGAAATATTCAGTGAATTGTGGCTCGTTATGTTTGCTCGAGGTAACAGCGTCCGTAAAAATATTGAAACAAGCTCTTGGTAATTCACTCCAAGGGAAAACGATCAAATTTCTGAGACTTGCTTCGTTGCGATAAACAGAGATCGCCCTGATGAGCTAGCCGTGATGGACCACAGCTTGATTGCAGTCGCTCTGACTGCATGATTTGTATAAGTCCTTAACAAATATGCTAGTTTGCTTGTACCGAAATCTCACTTTCTATCTCCTTGTAGATTGTGCTGTTACTTAAAGGTTGCTCTGTATTAATTGAAGCCAAGAGTCGTTTTCGTATTTGTTTTTCAGTTCATATAAAACTTTTGGATCAATTAACAAAAAAATGTTAAAGAGAAGTCCAGGAAATGGTCTGATATTATTGTACAAATTGACAGATGGCGTAACAGCTTTGGCTCCGAGCTTTTTACTTTGATAAAATAGGTTTTTTAAGCCAATGAGAACGCGCGTCAGATCCGAACTTTGTTATAAATGCTCTTAAAACTGCCTCAATTGACACGACAAATTTGACCTGCACGTAAAACTTTCATGTGAAATGAATGTAAAATCCATAGGCAGATCGTACCAAGATTTTACTATTACGAAATAGGTTGCTAATTTGTATCATTTATGGACTTAAAGGAAATGAAAGAAAAAAGTTATTTGAAAACAGTAAGTAGCAATTTTCTTCAAATTGATTACAAAAAGCTTGAATTGGACAGCTGCAAATTTCATCGTAAAAGCACTTCAAAATTCCATTAAATTCCTTGAGAAAGGAGACAAGCAATAGCGCCAGAGCCAATACGTTCAAGTGTTTTGTTTCTTATTCAATCATTCTCAGTCGCTGTATATCAGACATGTCCTCCCACCTTCCGGAATTCGTAATGTTTAAGAGCTTTATAGGGAAGTCAAATGGTCAGTCATCTTGAATAAATAATCTTTTGTTCTTGTATCCTCTGTCGAAGACCTATTCGTGGGCATATGACTAGGCACTATTTTTACGTTAAAATAGCCTCAAAAGCATATTATTGTCACCGTGCAATTCTAGTCTTAAAATCGTTTCCCTTGAAGACGGAGATACAGGTATTTTAAAGATTTAAGAACACTAACCATTCTTCCATCTATTCATCAGACATATCCATTTAGAGTTGACCTCACAGATGTGTCCGTCGTTACACATGTCTTTTGTTCAATATCATGAGCTTCAGTACAAGGTATGATTTCTAAAAGATAAGAATAGAAAGCGACCTTTTGTCATAGTTGATTATTTAAAAACGTGTGATTGTTGTTGTTGTTTTTTTTTATACGGATATATCAGTTCACTTTTTCAGTGAGTTCTTTAGGTTTGTAGCCCGCATTCAAAGCTTGGCAGCTGGACGATTCAATTGGAAATGTGACCTATCAGTCGCAAAAATTATCTGGCAATCTCTCAAAGCCAGACGATTCTTTAAGCCTCAAATGTATGATTTTGCTCAGGAAAAAGGAAAATGTCTGAGTCATTCTGCCAGCCAGCCCTATCCCTCCGAGGGAAAAACGCTGAATGGTCAGGATCACTGATTTGGCTTGCGAGAAGAATTTTTCAGATCAAACTGAGGTAATTATAGGCTTAACTTATTGTAGACTTGATTCAAGTTTCTATCCATGATGTTGATCGATATTTCAGGTGGCTTGATTAGTTATTAATTTAAAGAAAAAGCAAACAGAGAACGAAGCAAAAAACAAAGAACATTCCAATTCTGAGGTGTACAGCAAACCTTAATCGATTTCATATCGTTAGCAGCAAGGGATTATAAACTGTTTACATTCTCTTGCTTAGCAGTCAGACCAAAACGGTTCAAACACTAAATTCTTTGGTATCAGATACATCTTGTAGCCTATACGAGGGCACGCACCCCCCAGGCTTACAAAGTTTTCAATTAAGGCAATAAACTATTGTGCACCATGATTTCATTAAAATTTCTTTCTATGTACTTTTCTTGATGACCGAATTTTTCAGCAACTGACGTCTTTTTCCACCACGCTAAACATTTGCAAAAGATGAAAGATGGTAACTTTGAGCTATTTTTTTGAATTTATTCGCAATTACTTTCACTCATAAAAAAGAGACAATTTGTCTTAGCACGAGTACCGCAGCTACCACTCAGCGGGGGCGACGAATCAAGCTTCCTATATAAACATCAATTTACTCTTATAGATGGATGAAAACAAGATCCCAGTGGAGTTTGGTCATTATGAAATTATAGAAGTTGTAATGGACGTTGGTTTTTGGAATAGACGAAACAACTTAGAAATGAAAAAAGACTATTGTTGCCATTTTCACCCAGAATGAACCAGATCTCTTACAAAGACAACGAATGCGATGGGAAAGCTATAAATTAATCATATGTTCGATTCACAGACACAATCAAATTGACTCATGACACAAAACAAAGATAACATTTGGATAAAATTAACATTAAAATTAAAAACAAGAATTAATTGTGGATAAAAATTTACTCTTCACAACAAATTAAAAAAAATCCTTGCTGCTAGAGGACTTTTTTTCCCTCCCTTTAAAATTGCTCATGTTTGTGTCACAATCTTTCCTACTATGTTGGAAAAAAACACTATTTTATCTTTAGCAAAGAACTGAATGATTTTCGTTTAATTTGTTGACAGTCATTAATAAGGTGAAGACCGGCAAGAAAAACTTAAAAGTTTAAGTAGTTATTGTTGTAAATATCCGCTGTTTTTTCCACTGCTTATTTAATTTTTCGGAAGAATAATTGATCCAAGAATCATCTTATAGAGGAATTGAAAAATTAATCACGTTTAGGAACATTGGAAAATCCCAGCGCGATTCAATCTAATTCTTCATCTCAAGAGATCATAACGGGACTTACGACCCCTTGATGCTAAAAGATAGCTTCTTTGTAAGAAAAGCTATTACTTTATACTCAGGAAATGAAAAAACCAAAAATATTTTTAGACCAAAGTACATGCACTCATTAAAGTGCCGCGTTTCATCTCATCTTGAAACCACTAAGATGTTTTTATTGAATAAATTAACGATGCGGAAATGTTATTCACCCTGTTGTTAAGTTTAAAGTTAGCGGTCTGTACCGATGATATTACTTGCCGTGAAAAATAAATTCCAGAAACTTTGGCCACGGTTGTTCGAAGGTTAAATAACACGATCCACTGGATAAAACTTTATATAGTGGATAATGCTATACGTTTTGCTATCACTCATCCGTCGCATAGCAATTTATTCGTTAGATAGCGTCATGCAATCTTTATACAACTGAGCCATGATGATTATAGAAAGAGGTAACTTACAGACTGGTGACCCTCCAGTCCAGTTTTTTCTTTCTTCCTTCTCTCGCCCTTTCTCTTTCTATTTTTTTCTGTTTATGCCACCTCAACTGAACATGCCCTGGACTTGAAATGGCGGAAGACTTTAAACAATTGGGCTCTTACAAAGTGATGGGTGATTTCCAGCTTCCTTGTTTTTGTTGTCTGAGTTGAAAAGATTAACCTTAAAGAATTTTTTATATGTCAACATTTACTTGCAGTTTGCGAAGCGAAGACAAATACGTGTCATCTTTCCTTAGCAAACTGTCGTATTGGATCGCTCTTTTGAATATCTTACTTATCATATGCTTATCACATGAATATTTGTTTCGTTATTGGCTTTAGGCATATCCGACGGCTACGTCTGTACACGAACAAACTCGATTAAGTGGAAAAGGACTGAAAACAGAAGAAATTAGTCAGTGTTCTGTTTTCAATATCATGAGCAGAATCAGGATTTTCCCTTGTAACTTCCTGTTTCACTGCAAATTAGAGTGTTTACAAGAAGCTGTCTGCTACCTCAGCCAATTGAAAACGAGCTTTCATTTAATCCCAAGCACGCCATCTGCGGCTATTCCTATCGTAATTAAAGTTGTCTTTTGTTTTCTCACAGCAAGGTGTCACCGACGTCACGAGATCCATTTTCGGCTCTTCGCATCGAATCTTATAATTTACGTGATGTTCAAACTATTAGATGAAATTGTAGTGGATACAACTACCACACACTATATGCTCATTTCCCCTCGTCATAACACTCGGATCGTCTCCATTGAACAACAAAAGAAGACTTTGCTTTTGGACGTGCACTTTAAAAATTGATGGCGCAACTCTCATCCATCTCGAACGCTTCCATCAACACCTCGATTGTACAACCTACAGTTGCAAAGGCAACAGATCAAGATATCTTGGCTCTTGAGTTGAAATCGAGACCTGTCTTGTTGGTAGTTTTGGAGTCATTCGTTCTCCTTTTGATCGATTTCGTGGCGTTTTTTGGGAATTCAATGGTTTGCCTCGCCTTTTACAAAAACTCAAGACTGAGGATCATTCCAAATTACTTCATCATCTCCCTGGCGCTAACGGATCTGCTAACTTCAGTCTTTTCGTTGCCGTTTTCGGCAGGAGCACTAATTCTCAGCAGGTGGCCCTTCGGTGACTGGGCATGTCAACTGCAAGGCTACTTCGTATTCGCTTTCAGCATCGCTTCTTTACACACAATGGCGCTAACTGCTTGCAACAGATACACCCGAGTGGTTCATTCAAATCTATACCCAAACCTTTATACTTCCAAACTGACCATGACCTCTGTTTTTTTCGTCTGGGCATGGGCTCTCATCTGCAGCGCTCTTCCTTTCATCCTTGGCCTTTCGACGTTTAATTTTCACCCTGGTACCGTGATCTGTTACTCCACCCCGTCATTTACGCCGGAATTTATTGCCCTCTTCACCAGCACGCTAATTATTAACATACCTGTGCCTATGGCAGTTGTTATTATCCTCTACCATAAAGTATTTCGCGCCATAAGTCGTCAGCGTCTTAGGGTCTCAACTGAGAGAGGACTAAGGATCAGCAGTAGTGTCGAGGACATAAGACTTGCTCAGTTGTTGTTCGCGGTAACCTTAGGGTTCTGTATTTGCTGGGGTCCTGTAATGGTCGTGGAGTGTATTAGATTCATAGATTTGTGGACAGTACCGCGCCAAGTGTACCTTGTAAGCACGTACTTTGGAGCAACCAGCAGTGCTATAAATGTTTTTATCTATGGAGTTATGAACAGAGCATTTCGTGTAGAGTTTGTCAAGATCTTGTGTTGTAAGAAAAAATTTTGAGCGAGGCGCAGACAAGACAGTAATTATTTAAGGAAAACAACGAAGACGACCGTTACGTAACGAAAATGCTGCGCGAGAAAAAATTTTACACAGTAGCAGAATAAAAACTCTAAAAAATTAATACGATATAAAAACTTTGTTTAGTTTTCAACAATCCTACAACAAAAAACAGAAAAAAGAAAGAAAGAAAGAAAAAGAAAAGAAAGAACGAGAACTTGAAGTCTTAAAATTGAACGTGGTCGGAGAACAAGAATCATAACAGCAACTTATTTAAGTTTCATCTCTGAGCTCAGCGGTGCATTTACATGAATACTGATGAAAGATTTGGTGACGTAGCGATACGGTAAAATAGTTGTATAAGTAATGGGTGAGTGGGTGGGCGAGTTTAGAATTAGCTAAGAGGCTTAGAGAGTGGGATGGTCTCCCTTTGTTAAGTAATCACAAACCAAGAAAGAGAAATATAATACTGCGAATAAAAGCAAAAATCAACCAAAACTCGGTTAAAAAACGCCCCCTCGATGATTCTCCTTGAATACATCTACGATGGCATCATGCGTTTAAAACCATTTTGGAAAGACTTATCCACCATATTTTTTCCACCCACTATGCAATAATGTTTAATGTTATGCGGTGAATGTTGTTTCATTCCTCTCCTTTACTGAATCAAACTGCAGCTGAAATAAGCTTCGTGACGTAGAAATGAATAACAGTGACGCATCGAAACCTGTTTAGACTTGTTTAGGCAGTTATCTTTTAAATCGGTACTTTTACTCCCTGCGGTATCAACGAACGCTTTCCATTCAACTTACTTATCTTTGCGTGTGTTTTCCACGTTACCATATTCCCAACAAAAGTGTATGTCGATCCACTTGTCTGGATGTAACCACACCAAACTCACAATAGTCCATTTTACAGTCGCGTGCTTGGTTGCTAAGCCTTCTTACAAGAGTGAGGCTAAGGGTGACCTTGTTATGATACAAACCTTGCTGCTTTTTAAATGTAAATTGCTTTTTTATTATGCTATTTGGTACTTGTCCCTATCACAACAAGGTCACCTTCAGCCTCACTTCAAATCAAAGGCTTGGCAACAAAGTACACAACTGTAAAACAGCCTATTCATTTAATCGCTCTGACGAAGAGCTAACACTCGAAACGTAAGCTTTAGTAAACTTTTGTAGTGGCCTATCAACTCAGTTGATAAAAACAAATTATAATCTTAAAAAAACAGCCAGCTTTGACGAGGCTCAAATCATTGAAAATACTTAGAAAAAACGTCAGTTCTATTTTTTCTCGATCATTCATTAATGTATGAATCACAAAATGTCAAGACTTGAGTAGATCATCTCACGATGTACTCACTTCCAACGTGGATCGCGACGTTTCGTCTGCATACAGCTGGTCTTCGTCAGGTGACGAGAACGGCAGGTTTCCCATCAACCTAAAAAATTATCCTCCACTGTAATTAAACGATTTTCACCTTTTTGAGAAGATTAGATGCTGATCATCTTGTGAGACAAAAGATGATTATCAACTATTCACTGAAATGGAGGTGCTCGTGGTTAGTGGTCGATTTCAATTAAGCGCGAACAAGCGAAGTTAATATCTAACGCCAGCCTCCGACACTTAGGTGAATAGTTGTTTTAGCATATATATACTAAAACATGTGTACAGTCAGGTAATATAGCACAAAAAAATATTTACAATTCATATATTCCCGCAACTATTACAATATTTTGTGAATAGCAAAGATATTCGGAGTTTGTGTTGCCAATTAGAGCGCGTCTTCAACGCTACCCTCTGTTTTAGTATACATTAATACTTAACTAGCAGTGAATCTCCATCATGAGTATCACAACCTCTCGAACGTTATTGGTCGGGAATCGGAGCCCAAAAGAATAATGTCGATTTCAGGACTTAGGCGTTGTTCTAGTGAGTTAACACGCATCAGATACCATTTTATCTTTCTAGCAAAGTACATCATGAAACGCGTTGAAAAATCAACCAATAACTCGAAGCATGATGTGTAACACATGACAACTTGACCGCCTCGTCAGACAAGCAAGAACGTTCAATTGCAATTCATCACCAGCATATTTTAAGCAATGAGTCGCCACAACCTTTCAAAGATCTCTAGACTGAAATTGCCATCTCCACGCCGGAAAGAAATAACATTAAAAAACGTGATAAATTAACAATGGTCACACTTGATTAAAAGAGGTTTTGTTGCATATTTCATTTGAATATGATTCAAGAAAAAGTCTAAGATTAGTAATTAATAAGCATACAAAATGACTTGTTGCAGCGACTAGATCACGCCGATGAAGGCACTAGATAGGAGTGTCGAAACGTTGAGTCTATGAATTGTAACTTCTTGGTTACATTCCCAAAATCTTTAAACCAGAGTAGCATCAAAGCATGCTAGTCCAACGTTAATAATATTCAATTCATAAAGGATGAATCAGTATTATCGGGGTATAATTATCTCAGATCTCTTAACGAACCAGCATAAAATGAGTTTTAACCTTCTCCTGGCCCTAATTTCAAACGTTTATTGCCGTTGATCGAAGAAATATAATTCATCGTTGTCAAACACCGCTCGAATTATTCAGGTAAATGCAAGACTTACCCTGTTCATGAGTAAAGCATGGGAAAAAAAAAATTACTGTACATGGTTTAAGCTTTCTGTGCCACTTCAAAATTTGATCAATTTTTGAAAGACAACAAATTATTGATTTATATTTGTCGTCCTAGTCTTCCGTTTCTGAATATAAACAGTTTTGCAACATTTTTTGCACAGTACACTATATACAAACGACTGCAATAGAGCATCGCATTTCCAAGAATCAAATACATTCAAAGCAAAAGATATCTAGAGATGAAACTTACGAGAGATTCACGTTTCCTAATTGAAGTGCAAATTTTTTTGCGCTTTTTAAAATTGATCTCATTTTAAATAAGAAAGGTATCATATCAAGAGAGAATTAAAATTTACTTCAGGAAAGTTAAAAAGAAATCCAAAAAATCCTATTCTTTTAAGTTTACCGGTAACTTTTTTGTTAATTACACACTCTTGGGTGCGGCCACTTGATTTTCTCAATAATTTATAGTGTCTATGTCCGCTGCTTACTTGCTGTGTATTTATACGTGATCAAGGTCACTGGACATGGTCTAAGTTTTTGAACGTGCGTTGTAACCATGATGTACAGAGACGAAGTCGTGGTCCATAAATGGGTAAGACAAGGAACAAAAAAAAAATGAAAAGAAAAAATAAATGCAATGAAGAGGAAATTGAAATATCATAAGGCATGCTTCGTCCTTTTGTTTACAATTAGTTTATGGCCAAGAACAAGGCACCTCAGAGTTGCCAAATAAATTTACGGGGATCAAGTTGTATTTCTTACTTTTGGCTGTCTAGAGAAGACGACATTTACATTGATTTTGGGAAAAGAAAAACGGTGATCTTGTATTGGTAATGACGCAGAGAAAGATGCTTATTTCGTCTTGCGTGAGACATGAAAAAATGGGACTTTCCTTTGAATTTCGAATTTAATGGCTTACCAATGGGACACAGAGACCACTCGGGGAGCTAGGCTAGAATGGAAAACATCGTCGAAAAGACATTTTTTTCTTTTATTTTTATGCAAGGATCTGAAGATTAACGATGGATCGCCGAGGGAGTCTTGCTACCTGCATGCTATGTATGGTGTCTCTAATGTCTCAAGACACATCCGGCTGGCAGTGTGGAGCCGATGTCTACTCCAACTATCAAATGATGCTTAGAGCCCACACCTTCAACACGATCAAGGCTCGTCCAGGCACGTCTGACTGCAGACAAGCCTGCAACGCTGATACCAGATGTCAAAGTTACAACATGGTCATGTTCAGAGGCATATGTGAATTGAATAACAGGACCAAAGACGCCAGGCCAGATGATTTCATAAAGAACAAGGACAGATATTACATTACAAAGGTTTACTATAGAGGTAAAGACACCTAAATCGAAAGAACCTTAGCCCTAGTGGTGTAAAGGACGCATAACACTACCCCACGGATAAATCGCTCTCCTTCGGATGAGTATTAGCAAAACGTATAGCGTTATCCACTGGATAGAGTTTTATCAAGTGGATAGCGCTGACTAAGCTTCGAACAACCAGGGCCTAATGTTTCTTGGCTAGAGTAGTATTAGTCCCAGTTGAAGCCAATATTAGTAATGTTTATGAACTCACAGCGCATGGTGAAGATATCGTGTTCTCGTTAAAAGAGAAATTTTGGCATTTCATCGAGATCTATGTGCTAAATTAGTGTGTTTTTCAAGAGCACTAGAAAGTTCAAACGGGCATAAAATGATAAGAACATAGAAAAAAAAACCAGACAAAGAAACACGAAGAATGCTGAACAGTGATCTTTTGGCAGTATTCGATTTGAAAGCATTAAAATTTGCCTTTTTGTACTCATCATTGGTCGGCTTAAAATGTTTGTCACCAGTTCCTCTCGGTTCCATTCCTGAGCTGCCCGCTGATTCGTGTGAAGAGATTCTAGCAAGTGAAGGAGAGAAAGCTGTCAGCGGTAGTTACTGGTTGGATTTTAACAGATCTGGAAACTCCTTGTTAACCCACTGTAACATGGGAATGAGAGGTAAGCAAAACCGCGTCTTTCTATCACACTCAGAGTGATGAAACTTATCAAACGTTACCCCTGGGTTCAAACCGGCTACTAATTGTAAATGGTACCTTTTTCTAATCTATTCATGAGCTCGGAATGAGTGGATAGTTTGGAACCAAGGATTCTCTTTATCCTATGGTAACAACTACACAGAAGAGACTTTTAAGTTAATAACGCCCTTTTATCATCTATAGATATCGACGAATGGGAAGATAACCTCCATGACTGTCATAGCCACGCAACTTGTAAAAAAACAAATGGTTCCTACTTCTGTGCTTGTAAACCAGGATTTGGGGGAGATGGAAAAAACGAATGTGAAGGTTAGAAACAAAACTCGTTTGAAAACGCAAAATCAATTTGGAAAAAAATCAAATCTATATTTGTATTTTCTTATTTAATTTGTTACTCAGATATCGATGAATGCACCGAAGGATCTCACGGTTGCCATAGTAACGGGACATGTGGAAATACTGTAGGTTCGTATAACTGCACATGTAAGACTGGATTCTCGGGTGACGGTTTTAGCTGCGAACCGACAGGCAAGTTATATTTAATTAATTTTTACAAAATGAGTTTTCATCAATTTAAAATTACATATTTGGTAATTGGGTGCTAATGAACTTGTGAAGAATCGATCTACTTTATACATTTTTTAAATTATCCATCTGCTTAATTTTTTTGTCACATTAGAATGTGTGGAATATCACGAATTGAACGATGCTCGCAGGAAAGTAACTTACGCAGCTGTTCGACCATACAAGTGCGACGATTCAATCATTCCAGGCTGGTATCGTATGGTAGAACCTGCTGGTAAACGGATTCCGACGACATGCCCGGGTAATACGATATGTGGTACAGCTCGACCTGGATGGATGAATGGTGTCCATCCTGCTGTGGAAGATGGTGTTGTTAGCAGAAAGGTTTGTTTCTCAACCAGGAATTCCTGCTGCTATAAATCTCTTTGGATTAAAGTGAGAAGCTGCGGTACTTTCTGTGTGTATTACTTTCGGGGCATACCAAATGTCTGTCCCGAATCGTACTGTGCAACTGACTGAGTCTTGTCTGGGGCCCCTGCAGGAACCATCTATTCCGACTAAGTCGGGTCAGGGTTCCCTGTGGTAACAGTCTGTTCTAAGAATTGCCGCGGAATTACGTTATTCGTGTTAGCAACCCCTTGTTCTGGAATTGCTAACGATGCTATCTATCCCAGGATAGTGTAGTCCTGTGGCGCCCATTTGTCCCGAAACTTACTGTAGAGATGATTTATTCGTGTCTGGGATCTTTGAGGCTTTATTACTTGTCTTCAGAGAGTTTCAATTTTTCCCTGGTCAGAGTTAAGAGTAATACTGAGTAGGGACATTGAAGGAGTCAAATCGTGTAATATGTGAAAAAAGAACTGTTTTCGTAAATTTGCTTTAATTATACTTACAAAAGGAAAAGATTATTTATTTCCGATCGCTTAATCTGTCTCAGTATACGTAGACTGAACATGTTCTCTTGCCAGCCAATACAATAAGTACACTTTACTTTTTTCAATGGCACTCGCCTGTAAATATTTTCTAGATCATATTTCTAAAAAGGTCTGTATTTGTTCTTTATTTAAGTTGTAATAAGTTAATATCTTAGAGAAATATGATTATTTGTCTTACCAAGAATTTTGGACAAAGAAATTACTCGAGCCGTTAAGGATAACCGACGAAAGTTCGCGTTATATATCGTCGGTTTAGAACAAATCAAAGGAAATACTAAAAACAATGGTGTATCCACAACAAATGCCTTTGTATCATTTTAATCCAATTATGATCATCAATAAATTTCATGAGTGTATAATACATTTAGACTGTTGGTTTATTATCTCTAAATCAAACGTGAATAAATCAGTCGCTCTGTTGAGTGCCATTTAGATTACAACGATGAAGAATTAATGATTTCAAAATTGATATGATAAATTGAGTAATTTTTGGCTGATTGAGTCTCAGCTATACGATAGTCACATATTTCTTACCATGAGCGGGATCATTTTAAGATCTCCATAAGTTGTCCTAGTCGGGAAGTGGAGTTCAGTGTGTTTTCCCTCTCAACGGTGACAAACAATGTTATTGAAAATCTCCTCATTGATAAATGCGTTTTATCTGCGTTTTATCTGTAAAAAGCTTTTATCTCACCAAATTATCTATCACAGGCTTTGTACATGCATTCAAGTAATTATATAGATTCTATTTATAATAGGTCCACAGTAGAATTTGCTGCCATTTATGCCGGTCTAACTTGCTTGACCAAAAAAATGATGGTTATAAAAAAGTAAGAATAGTGATAATAATGACAATTATAATGAAAAGAAAAATAGATGAAACGGTAATGTTGATAATAAGGTTGATTATAATAATGGTGACAATGACAATAATAGTAATAATAATAATAATAATAATAATAATAACAATAATAATAACAATAATAATAACAGTATTATTAAGATAATTATGAAATTACCAGTCTTTGGGTTTAAAGTCTTTCAGAAATACAGCAAAGTATGGCGAATTCTTGGGGTTCAGCCCATGAACAATCGGATGATAAACCCTTGCGGCGCCATCCTGGCAATCGAGGGGAGGCACAAACCCTTTCACCTCTGCTTCAAGCCGGGCTTGGTGAAACGGACGTTCGTCAGTGACCCAGCCGGTGTCCACAGCTGTCATGTAGATTCCGTCCATCTGGAACTCCAGTCCACTGGTACGAGTCATCATGTTCAAGGCTGCCTTGGCCATGTTGGTATGTGGGTGACGGTGGCCTTTGTTGATTCGCGAGAATTGCCCCTCCATGGCAGATACGTTCACGACGAATTTTCGCTGAAAAAGACTTTGTTTCAAGAGTGGTTTTAGTTTAGCTGTCAGGATGAACGGGCCTACAGCATTGATGGTTAAAACTTGCAGAAGCTCTTCTAGAGGCACTTCATCCAAATTATACGTCCAGCTGTTTCTCGGTCGAGTGTCTAGTGGCTCACCATGTTGGTCTCTCTCTTCCGGTGGAAAATCGATTGTGTTCGTTTTCCAAGGAAGTGCCTGGTATCGATTTGGAGTTGAAATCATGGAATGTAACTGTTCAAGAGCCTGGATTTGATTCACGACTACATTGTTCCCATCTTTGGCCAAGTTTGGTAGTTTCTTTACCTCCTCCGAGATGAGAGACTGGTAGTAAGGAAACGGTCGAAAGATTGTTTGTGCGGCGTTGTTGACTAAGATGTCGAGGTGAGGAATGCTCTGTTGAACATAGCCAAGGAAACCTTCGATTGATTGCATGTTCTGGAGATCAAGACGTGCAATTTTTAGCCTGTGCTTCCAAACGTTGAAATCTGCCTGTCCGCTGAACCGTTCCACAGCGTTGGCCGGAAATCTAGTGGTGACAATGACGAAACAATCGTCTCTCAACAAGCGGAGAGCTGTCTCAAAGCCGATCTTGATTCGACCTCCGGTGACTATAGCGTACCTCCCCTTTAAATCACACGAGGATTTCTTCATCTCGCAATTTAGAAAGTGGCAATCAACGCAGAGTTGATCAAATACCGAACTTAGATTGCACATGTAACATTTCTTTTTAGACCCCTTGTTATCTGGTTTTCCTACCATTTTTTTTAAGGCTTTAAACACTTTTTTACCGGGTCGACGTTGATCGGCGTATGGCCTATTTACCAATTCAGCAGCAGAATCCGAAGGAACAATCTCGACTGACCGCTTTCTCTTAAGAGAATTGTGCAAGTGGACTTTTCCATTCAGAATTCCGGGATGGGCATCCATTAGACGATAAACATCAAGAAGACTTTTTCCAAAATTTAGAACGTCGATGCTTATTTTCAAAGCATCCATGACAGGTGTTGTATGATCTTGTGTGGTCAACTTCAAGATTGCGTGATTTCTTAAGCCGCGAGACAATTCGTTATTTTCTGCCAATAATTTGACTAAACGTTCCTTGATTTCGAGAAATTTTCCCTCACTGCAGTTTATCCAAACATAGGAAACTTTTGACCGTTTAATTTGGTGGTAGAATGCTGTTAATTTGCTCAAAATGTCTTCTGGTTTGATATTTCGACAATCTAAAATGTATCTGTCGCTATCGCTGAACTTTTCTTCAGAGTTCATTTCCTCTACTTCCTCGGTTTGTACTTCAATCAGCTTATAACGATATCCTTCGTGTGTAAGATCCATTTCCTGAGATTTTTTTATAGCAAGTTCTCGTCTGAAAGCTTGTACGACGTTGAAGCCAGAAGCACTTTTATAAGAAAAGATGCAGGACTTACAAACACCAGGTACGTATTGCTACGTTCTTGTAATGATTGCATCATCAGAGCAGAACAATGACGTCACGTTATTAAGGTTTTACTTCACGCTGTCCTACACCAAGACAAATAATTTAAAAAAATAAACCCTCAGCAGAATGTAGGTCTCCATTTTACAAACAGAGCTGTTTTTAATCTCTCAAATTTAATTTTTCCTCAAAGCTTTATGCAGTTTGGTAAAACAACTGCACTGCTATTTTGATTTCGATAGTGTGACATCGGAAAACCTCCGTTTATTTTTGTACTTGGATTTTTCCCCTGTGGGGGTTTCCCCAGATATAAAATTTCGCTTATCGATAAATTTAGAATTTAGATTTTTTTCACTTGAAACATATAACGTGAATTAATGATGGCTCGTTCTGAAGAAAAGACACATTGCAACTAAAAACGCCGCAAAAAGAGAAAAAAATTAACGCCGCAAATACCAGTAAAGGTAATACCATCATGTTGCAAGTAAGTTAGTCAGTATTTCGTGATTTTTGAAGCGATCGGTGGCTCGAAGTGGAAGCGAAAATTTACGAGTTTTAACGTCGTTTCTGGAATGAATTATTCGAATGTAGAATTTTGGGAAACAATAAACAAATTCTCTGTGAAATGCGACATCCACGGTCCTTCTACGAGAATCTACGAATGCCTACTTTGAAACTGGCAGATAAACTCCCTGCGACGAGGTTTGCTGAACTTACCGAAAACGTTTCAGACTGTGAATATTCAACGACGTTTGCTGAACGTAGCTAAAATTTTTGAGACCGTGAACATTCGACGAGGTTTGCTGAACGTAGTGAAAACGTTTGAGACTGTGAACATTCGACGAGATTTGCTGAACGCAGCAAAAACGTTTGAAATTGTGAAGATTCGATCAGGTTGGCTGAACGTAGCGATAGAATGTTTGAGATTGTGATCATTGAACCAAGAGAGAATAATTGTCCCATTTTTTCCTCATGATGCGACATCATAAACCCCATGCAGAACCCATTTTATTTGAAGAATACAATTTTTTATTCAGAGCATTTGTTTTTTATTTGTAGAGATTTTTTATTATTGTTTTCAGGGAGTCCCTTGTGGGACAGCGCAAAATTTATTTATTTAAGGGGGAAAGTTTTTAGTGAAAGCTTAATATAAATTAAATCTTTATCTAATCCATGTAAATTTTTTGTAAAATGTTCCGTTTATTTTAATTCTTTCCAAATAAAAATCTTTTTTAGATATTTCATTTCAAATTCATGATATTGTTGGAAGATTCTAGGCGAATACTTGGAAAATCGTTAATTTGTCGGAAATAACACAAAAAAATGTCTCGTCGAAAAGAGGGCCAGTCACGCTGTACCATAATATAAAACAAGTCCTTTTTTAAAAATTCTTCCCTCGAACAGTAAATTCGTGACATTGGAAAAAATCATAAGACATAAAAACATCGATCAATAAAAATGAAGACGATGTTGGTAAGAAAAATGTATGTCATAAATATTTCATTATGTTTATGCAAGACAGAATATTAAAAAAAAAATGAGTTACTCTATCCGAATTGTATCAAATTTTTTTATGTGGAAAAGCTCTAAGGTATACAATTTATTCAGAGCATCAGAGGAACGCTATAAACCTTCAAAACTTCGAAAAAACCTCAACTAGTTTGATCATGATATGACTTGGACCGGAAAATTTACAAGACTGCAAGAGGTTGCGAAATATTCCTCGAGGATTGTGGGGCGGGAAAGCTCAGACGGAATTTCTTGTTTTAAGGGTTATTATTTTATTATTTTTTGAGGGAACAGAATGAAGAGCATTTCAGGGAGTGGAGGGTTAGGACTATTGAAAATTATACCTGCCTGATCACGTCAGCCTTGTAATCAAATGTTTTGATGTCTAGTGCGTACACATGAATTGACGCGATATTCTAAGAAACCTCTCGAAGCTACTATCAATAATAATATCACTTTTGCGACAATTTCAATGAGTAAGGTTTTGACATCAGCTATTCGGCGAAATGCTTTGATGTTGAGTGCGAATGAATGAGGTAGCTTCATTTTCTGACTAACCTCTCTAAGCTCTTCCTGTTTTTAGTGGAAGATATTATTCAACTGCGGCGTTTTTTGACGCCAGCCAGTCACGAAATGTTTCAATGTTGATTGCCAATACAACTGGTTCAGTATATTTAGAAACCTCGCGCCCAACTGCTCGGCTTTAATAACGGGACAGGCTTTTCTAAAGCTGTGGCATCGTTTTTTAGCATGAGTGACTAACATCAGATGTAAAAACTGGATAACTAATTTCAGGAAGATTCGAAAAGACAAAAACTTTTGGACGCCAAAATGTCCTCATAACGTTACGGGACAATGATTATATTTTGATGGCGTGACACAAGCGTAGAGAACGTGCGTGACAATGAAAACCAGACCACAATTGCAACCAATCAACGCTCAGGATTCTGAGAATGTAGGGTTCATTAGCAATTGACTCCTCTCGCACTCTTCACATTGCATCTCGAGATTGACTTCGCTCCAAGAGTAAGTAAAAACTTGTATATAGTGCATTGTTTCTCATCAAGGCTTCCGTAATTGCTCCTAATGTAACTTTGATGATTTTTTGAAGTACTTATATCAGTGCACCAATTTGTATCGAATCGAAATTAATCATTCGTTATGACATAGAACTTGTATAACGGATGCAACATAGGGTTATGAAAACAATTTAAGGTCCCAGTGAATAATGAAAACATTGTGATGCGAAGCAGAAATTGTCCTATTTATGAAGCAAAAGTTGGTAAATGGTCGACCAGTCAAACATTTAATGGGGATGTAAAGTAGTTTTAAATGCAATATAAGGGGACAAAAAATTATATTAAATAAAAACCACCGTTTTTTATGAAATCACTTCTAAGTGATTTCGCGGAGTTTTTTTAATTATTTGTAGATCAAAAGTCATGATGTCTGAACTATTTGAATAAAGTGGATGGCCTCTTAAATTATTGTTTTAGATTTAAATCTCTATATATTTATTTATGGTTCAAAGTTCATAGATACTTGAAATGTTATTAATATTGTGTGTTTACCAGAGAGACAGAGAGATAGTGATGTCTGGCGACACCGGGGTAACTTTATTAGGCAATTATAAACATCTTAATTTTAGTTAATATATCATATTAACCTAAAACATTGTACCACTGGCAATTAAATTAAATAGGAATGGATTCTTTTAAAATGATTAAGTATTTTCTTTTTACGTTCGCTGGTCTTTTCGTTTTTTCCTCTTTGATTGTGTTTTATTTTCGATTTTTTATCTTTTTTGTTTTGTTGTCAATATTTTATCTATTATTAGTGTTATCATTAGAATTATTATCATAATTATTGTTATCATTATAATCATTACTATTATAGATATCTCATTAGTACCAACACAGCTAGTACTTTATTGTTATTACTATTGTTATTATTGCTCTTATTGTTATCATTTTGTATCGGTAGCGAACTTGCAAGGTTTTATTCTTTCTTTTATTATCTTGTCCTACTTGAAAGTTCAAGCGTGTATTTTTTAGTTTTTCTTAGATTTTTATTAGACATTTTAATGCATTTTTCGATTTTTTTAAAAGGATTTTATCATAATATTTGTAAATATTTTTAGTGATTAGAGTGGATAAAAGACTATTATTATTATAATTGTTATTATTATTATTATAAGCATTATTATTATTATTATTATTGATTTTCTGTCTGACGAACCAAGCTGTGCAGCAGTTGAAACATGCGTTGGGCATTCATTTATCGATTGAATTCCCCTTCTAGCCACTATTACCACACATTTTCAGTTATTATTTACAGAAAATTGAGTTTTTTTCTTCACTATTTTGTTTGCATGTTCTCATTTCGTCTTTGGTAGACAACGTGTTGATGCAAGTTGTCAACGTTAGTTAGTGTTAACCATCCGTATGCAAAAGTGCCTGGAGGCTTATGGTGTTTAGCAGAGTAATTGAGGACAAAGTAAAAATGTTTCAAAATCTTGATTTTTTTTACATCAACTGCTTAAAGAAATGCGCCGCTGTTTCATGAAAATGAACTCAATGCGACTTAGCAAAATGTCTTTAGTCGTGCAACTAGCAAATTCTTAAACCGCAAAGCTGACGAGCTGTTTAGATGTTATCAGTCCTAATCTCTTTAAATTGATTTATGGGCCACATTGAAGTCCCCATGGTCGTGTTTTCAATTGCGAGCAAAGGCGGGGCTTAGAAGACCCCTTATCTCTCTTATTTAATGATTCAGTTTCTTTGCTAAACAGTTGGCAATGACCGTTGTTTGCAAGAAATTTTTAAGATTGTAAGCCTTAGATGGCTGGCTCAGAGTAAACATGTCAGTGTGGGCTTTTGGTATCTGCCTCTAGCTACTTTGCTCTGAGAGTGATAGCTGTCTTTTAGGATTAAGTGCGATTGTTATTCATGAATCACTTTATATACATGCCGCCTGCCCGAGCCTTCATGGCTGAGTAGTTAATCGGCTGATCTGGAGCGCAGCGCAACTCTCGCTTTTCTGCTTCGTTGCAACAGGAGGTGTCGTTCGCTTTCCTAGTTTTTAGGCTCTTTGTTTTCATTACCTCTCACAGAGAATAAGGCCTCATCAAGCAAGTAGATGATTCAGCCATGAAGGGATTCATATTGTTTGCGTTTCTTGCCCACATGTGCTTCGCACAAGGTTGGTTGAATAACTTTGTAAACAACAACAACTTGCTGCCTAGAATATCACGATGTATTATGCTGCGTATCTTACGATGCCAAGCGAATGATTTCTCCCTTTTCTAGATAACTATAATGACATTTTTTTTCACGCAGGAAGCCATTAAGGGTGCTTGCAATAAAGGAAAGCTAAATGCTAATCCGTCATGCTTCAGTGCGAATACAGCGAACGAGCGATCTGATCGCGGGGTGTGACATACATGTAGAACGTACTTCGCTTGAAACAAATGCAAACACTCGTTTGTCTGCTAAATCTCAAATAACTATGAATCTTTCGCAGTATTTCGTAAAGTTATATTTAAAAACAGTTCGCCGTGACTTCTCACGAGGATGTATTTTTGTTTTGGAAACAGTATGTCAAATAATTGAACGTGGCACGGACTGCTGGATTTGTGGACTTAAGATCGGAAAGTAAACGTTTCGAAGATTGTCAATCATCTTGTGGAGAGAGCTTGAGCGGAAGAAATTTACTTTACTGGGCCATCTCTATCTCTGGTTATATTACGTCCTTTCCTTCCTTATATTTTCCATTTTCCCTTTTTTACATTTCTTCCTTCGTATAACCACGAAAGGTAACCTTTCTCAACTATGCTATTTATATACCTTGGAGAACTCATTATTGAAGCTTTTCCCTTATTGAACAGATCCAGCCGTGTTTCAGTTTCGATCTCCAGAATTCGACGTCTCCGAGTCAGCATTAAACGCAATCGTCGTGATTGAAAATGTTGGCAATACAGCGGAATCTGGGACTCTCAGGTAGGCATACGTACAAGCTCTACTCTATTATATTACAAATATTCTCCTAAAAAGGTTTATCTACAAGAATCTGACTGATTTTCTTCGCTTTAAACCTCCATCAGTCCTTATCTCCCCTCGTTTTTTCTCCCTTATCCTGGTTTTCTTTGTTGGTTCCCACAAACTAGATACCTAAATACACGAAAGAAGCAAAATTTGTATCAGTGCAAGTCCTTGTGGTGAAAAAGGCTTTTTTTTTTGTGGATAAGAAGGTTTTGATCCGGTCTTCAGGAATACATACAGTTAAGCTCTTTTTCGTTAACCAACAGAGTTCTCCTGTAAATAAATAAAAAATCTCCAATAATCTTTCTTAGCATTCTGGCAAGAGTTTTAAAGAAGCCGATAGTTACTCTTTTCTACGGTTGAACACTTCTGTAGCTAATTGATGACCATGTTTGGGAGCAAAAAGTTACCGGCAATTGTAAACTACTTTTCTAGTAAATTAAACGCTTCTTCCTTTGTTGTTTTGGCGATGCCACCTATTGTTGTCTTTTTCCTCCTAGCGTAACTGTTGCCGACGGAACGGCCGTAAGTGGCGAAGATTACGTCCCAACCGCTGGTTTAAGGGTATCATTTTTGTCAGGCGAAGCGTCAAAAGAGGTTAACATCCCCATCCTAGATGATGACGTAATCGAAAGCGACGAATCAATCCAGCTCTCTTTGCAGCTCTTGGGTCCCTCCCGTCCAAGTGCCAGAATTGGCAGTCCTGCATCTGCTACCGTCAAAATCATTGACAATGATAAGCCCCGTAAGTAAATGAACCAATGGTAAAGGAGTTACTTGTGCCTCTTATGGAAATTGACAAACTGTTCTCAAGTTTGAGTATTTCAACTCTCGTTAGCTTTCGCATTTTGTTACCAGCCCTGTTCGTTTTTGGTCGCTCTCGCTGGTTTAGCTTTTCTCCTCCCCGGTAAACCATTCCTTAAAGTTTTCCCCTCTTGGTAAAGATAATTTACATATCCAAAGAACAAACAGGAGAAAAGAAGTTAGCCCCTCAACGGTGAACACATGGTCAAAAGTGGTTATAAATTTTCTGTTTAAGATCGTCATTGATTGGGTTAAGTTAAATGAGCCAGACTTCATGGCTCAAATGAACTTAACTTTAATGTGTTGTACACATAAAACGCCGATATCAAAACGCTTCATTCCCTTATAAAGCCCTAACGGAGAGGGTGGGTTGAGGTTGCGAGGGGTGTACTGCGCATGTCGTGCCGTGTTTACAATTTTGTGGTTTTGTTCATTATCCTATCACGTTTGGCCTTCTTTATCACCTTTCTAGTCTCATCGTTTTAAACTCGTGAAGTTTCTACAACTGACAAAGAGTGTCAAGTATAGCTTTTCTAAATATGCCATGATTTTGGACGCTCTGTTTTTTAAAAATGTTGAAGCATTTTTCACCCTCGAAGTGGATTTCACATTGCATCAACCGGTCAACAAATGGTTGAAAATCATTGTGTGCTTTGAGGTTCTTAAACATGACTTCAATGATCCAAAAAGTTCATCAAATGCCTCTTTGCAGTCTACACCGCTAAAAAAACACTTATAATTACATTTAGCGACCTTCAGCAAAGAAACCAAAAACGCAAATATTGAGTTCTCCATATCACTTTCAGAACGATTCCAAACCAAACAGGCGATAAAAGTCACAAAACTTGCTAAACGCGCAATTAGCCAAACAACCACAGCGAGATAAAGTTTCCCAATACTAATTTATTCAATCAGTTTTATCTCGAAGGCCCTGAGCACTTTGTTCCTCCCGCCAAAACAATAAAGCGCATTCACCGCCTTTTTCTGAGCGACTAATTAACAGCGTTCAATTCGTCACGCTCTGCTTCAAAAGCAGGTGTGCGACTTTTGTGGCGTGCGGTTCGGTCAGTCAGTCGGCAATTGAGACGGCTACAAGCGCTTGTGTGTTCCTGAGCAGGATTGTTCATTCTATCTAAAAGAAAGAAATGAAGGCCTTCGCTCTTGTGTGCGTCTCGCTCTGTCTTGCACTAGGTATGCTAAAATTTGTTTTTATTTGTAGAAGGGACGAAATATTTTAGCTTCAAACTTTATTGTCCCTTTAGTGTTCATAACTTGTACCATCTAGTTTTCAATTCGCTGAGCCTTAAACTTACTTTCGAATTCCGGAAACCACGTCGAATTTTGCTGAACGCTAAGACATTGCTAAGTTTGAATGCAACTTTCTCTCAAAGCGTTCTCTCGTAATTCAACACATGTGCTCACCGTCGATACAACATACTAATGCAGGAATTACCGAAGCGCATAGATTGCTTAAATTCTGTTCCAACAGAGTTTTGCTCTTGGAAGCCCTAAACTTTCGTTTCAATATCATAAGATGGTTACACAGCTATTGAAAAGGCATATATCGTCATGAAACTCCAAATACTAATAACTCGAAAGCCCAGCTTGAAAGTTCAAAATCAATTCATTAGGTGGGGCCATGTCAAAAAATTAATTACAGGAGCTATTCGTGATGCGCTTACTCTTTTGAGTCACTGTTTACCCTACTCTCTGATGCACCTTTTGCATGCTCTGTTCTGTTTTATTGATCGTGTTTTATCTTTATTTTAGCTTCAGCATCTAATGGCGGTGGAAACATAACTTTGGCTACCGAAGCAAGTGAGTGCATAATTCGTAAATCTACTCAGTATTTACATATTGATCTGAAGTGTTCCGCAGTTGTGCGCTTTAATTGTGATTTGGAAGGTCGAAGTGAACTCGTTTCATGGCAAACAAAACGCTGTCAGTCCATAGTTTGATTGATGCCATATGACTTGAAATTCTTGGCTGTCGCTTGCGCATTTTTCTTTTTCACACACCTCGTGTGTTAATCAATGAATTTTAGAAGAACTTAAACAATTGTATTGCATAACAAATGGCCTTTGTCTGGCCATCTTTGGAACAGAGATCTTTCGCAAAAAAATATACTTTTTTTTAAGCATCTGCACATTATTCATGTTTCTATTACACGATCCTCTGCAGCAAGGAACTAAAATTCATTTGCACAAGGCGCAGTTCTGTTTATATAGCTTTCTAAGATGTTTGCTTGCCGTTGCCGTCGGGGGTGGGTATTCAGAATGCCAAGTCCATATAACTTTTCTTTATATTCAATATCTTACGGTGTCTTACCATTTGGAACAAAGAGCGCATTATCGGGATTGTTCCAGTTGCAGGAACGTCTGCCCTATAAATGCTAATATACTAAACACAATCCAGAGTTTACCAGAAATACTTAATCATATTCCATTTGAGCAAAATATCTTGACGTCTTTTGTTTCTAGAGACGTTTCTCTCAGGCATGTCTGGTTTTGTTAGTTCGCAGCTAGACAAGTGTATTGTTCCCGGGTGAATCAGCGAAGCGTGATCATATTATGATTTTAGTCTTAGAAAACCTTTATGCTAGTACTTAGCAAATTTGTTTACATCAAATCATCAAGACGCTGCTCAATACTCAGAAATTACTTAAAAGCAAACAGCCGTGTTCTTTTTCAAGACCCGATCATTTTTTATCCGATTGCGTGCACACTCCAACCTTTCTCCTCATTGGATATTGTTCTGGAATCTTCAATTAGGCGAAATTAAAAACAATGATAAGAATATTTTCATATTCATAAAACGAAGCGATATGGCAAAACTTTTAGTTTCTGATCACAACTGAGATCGATCAGTGTGTGGCCAACTTATAGATTTTTTGCAGCTCTGCGTTAGACTGCATTTGGTACCAGCAAAAACAAAAAAAAACCAAACAAATGCCAAAGAAAAATAAAACAAATATATTTAAACATAGGTAAATTTCTACTGTCAGACGGCCTATATTTTCAAGAGACGAACCCTGTATCGGTGCTTGCAAAGCTGGTTCCATAAATCTTTGTTGTGCACATATTATTAGCATTATTTTTTCCTCCATCAAATAAGTTTGATTCTAATAAAACATACATGTTCTTGGAGTAAATATGTTTAAATAAAAAAATCGGAATAATTGAAATCTAAAATTAACTTTGTTATTGGGGAAAAATAATAAATGCGCTACCTGTAATTTTACGAAGTTTCACATTATTGGACAGTATTTGTATTTGAAGCTAGTCTTAAATTTTTTAGTTTTATTTCAAAGCCCTTATTTGCAGTGCGCATCTTAATAATTGAGCGTCGCATCAATCTGTTCAGCACATTGTTGGTGAACTTTTCGGAACAAAAGAGAAGGGAATAGCCCTTGAGGGCCTTTTTCTTGACTGAGCTTCTTGTGCTCCTTCATTCGCGATGATAGCAATGGGAGTGGACTGAGCAGTGACGCATTTGTTGTCACAGATCAAGTTAAGTAGCTGGGAACACTCAGTAATACTTTTATTTGTTTTTTGTCTTTATTTATTTTCAGAAATCGACATTATGTGCCGACCAGACTATATAGAAGTGACCATTAAGCTTGCAGATTACCCAGGACTCGTCGTCAACGACTCCGTTCTGCATCTTGAGGACATGAAATGCGTGGCTGGTTACAAGGATGATGAAATGGTCAAATTCACGTTTGGACTGGAGGAGTGCAAAACCATGCAGGAGGATGACGGAAAGAAGATTTACTACAAGAACATGGTTTACTTGAAGGCTGGCTTGCCACCGAATGATACGAATATAGTCCGTGACCATTACGAAGTTATTCCGTTCAGCTGCGGATATGACAAGAAGGCTGTCCTGTCAAAAGTGTCGTACAATCCTCAGACTACTCTCGTCCTCTCAAATGCAGGTGTTGTACAAAATTTGTTTTAAAAGAGCAAAACACGAATGAGAAGCGAAAGTAATCCGAGATTGCATTGGTCTTTCTTTAATTCGCTCTGTGATTGGTACAGAAAACTAGCCACCGCTACTCTCTTAACCAATCAGATGGAAAACTAAAGCCGATCACGATTTGGTCGCCCGAGTTTTCCCGCGCTTTAGGCAGTATGGTTGTTTTAACTTTGAGTTCTTAGTAGCGCTAAAAGGTATATTCTTAAAATGAAGCCGTTGCCATAATTTTGGTGTTAGTTTCACGACACCCTTTCGGAAAGCGCTTTAATGATTCCATCAGAGGAGAATTTAGGGACAAAAAATGATTATGAAAAAACAAAACAAAACAACATAAAAAGGCATATCCTTGAAATTTCGAATTATATTGCAAACCAAATCGAACCAACACTCTGTATATGTGGACGGGTGTTTGTACTCGAGAAATTAAAGAACGTTAAATATTTCCCCTCTATTTTCAGAGGGTATTGGCAACTTTACGTACTTCATGGACATGTACGAGGACGGAAGCAACAGCGAAACAGTTACTGAGTTTCCAAAGGAAGTTGGTTTGGGTCAGAAGATGTACTTTGGATTCCGGGTGGAGTCTGGCGACAGTGAATTGGTTGTATTCCCCGATCTCTGCAAGGCCACGGCATCATCAAGTTACGATTCCACTCCTGACCATCTTATTATTGATAAAGCGTAAGTCATACTTTTTGAGCTGACGATAAAATGAGTGTTTCATTCTTTAGATCACATCGTGTGCTTGGCTAACTCAAAAGTCAAACGTCTGCGCACGTACAGATGTCAAAACTTTTAAGAGTCCGCCCAATATTGCGCTTTCAAGCTGTCAGGGAAAAGTTGCAGCACATTAGTGTTAAAAACCGTTTACATTTTTCACAAAATTCAGAAATAATAGTAAATCGAAATAAACCCCTTAATGAGTAATTTTTGTCGAAAAAGTGAATTTTGCTGCCTCTAAAAAAGTTTTTCATTTTAACGTAAATTTGCGTGAAACCGGTCGTTTCCTGCGTTTATCTTAAAACACTTGTAAGGGACATTAGCACGCAGTTAGCTGGAATTGATCCGTTGTGCATGCCCCACAATTGACTGCTTTTTGCATTATGGTTGGTGAAGTACCTGTGCAATCCTTATAATAATTTTTTTTTCGTTATGGAGACCATAATTTACCATACATCCAATGTATGCTATGGTGCGTCACATCAAAATCCTGCTGAGCTTTGCTAAATTTAAAGTAGCTATCAGAAACAATTATGAAGTGTTATATTTGGCTATAACACCGGAAACAAGAAATAAAGATAAACAAACTTTGCCGTTTCTCTCTCCTCAGCTGCTCGAGAGACAACACTTTGGAGTACGACTACGGTGAAAATTCCGAGCATTTCTTTAACCTTGCCGCTTTCCGCTTCAAAGAGAACTACGATGACGTCTTTATCCATTGCAAGTTGACGGTTTGCCGAAAAGGCGATGACCAATCACGGTGCGCCAAGGGCTGTCAACCATCTAAGAGGAGACGAAGGTCAACCACAGAAGGGTTAGAAGAAGAACTGAGTGCCGAGCTGTACGTTGGACCGGTGAAACTTAAGCAGTCGACAAATGAGGAGGGTGAGTGTTGCGTATTTTGCCTGTTCCTGGCGCCTAGTTGGTGGGGACAGGTCCTCTAATAAGTGTCTTTTGGTGCCATCTCTGACTGAACACCATCTTTTTAAATTTATTCAGCTGAAACCAAGCACTATACTGAATCAGAGACTGACAGTAACATGGTCATATTGGTGGCAGCCTTGGTTGGAGTTTTAGGAACTGTGGCCATTGGACTCATCGTTGCCGTTGTCATCATCAGCCGACGCCGTACGTCCGCTAAGAAAGGCGCTTCTCTCATCGTTGCTGAGGAAATTTAAAGGGGCATTCGTTCGAGCTGTAGTGTGTAACTTTAACCGTATTTTCAGTACCCTAGGGTCTTAAGAACGTTTTATGGCACCTGTTTCTTAACTACATTACTTTGCATGTGATTACTATGGAAATAAATTAGTCACGCAATAAGTTTTCAAAGCAATTTAGTTTTCATTTTTTTACAAGTATTTTTATTCTTCCCGAGAGGAAAACCATTTCCCCTAGTTTCGTCTATTTCAATATCTTTTACTATTATTCTTTAAAGCCGGCAAAACTATTGCAAAGTAAAAAACAACGGGATCACTTTTAGACATTTCAACTCGCTCAACTCACGTTTCCACTTAACATGAAATTTTGCGAGAGAACAAGCTTTTTTACTGCTATTATAACTTTTGCTCAAGCACTTTCCAGAATGCTGTATACTTTAATTCATAATAGGTCAAATAAAGCAATAGGACGTTCATTTATCTACTGTTTGTAATGCTAAGAGGTGTGCTAAGGAAACTACAGGGATATGCTGCGGGAAGTATATAGTTTTTGTCTGCTAACAATCGAATATTTTCAACCTCTTAAGTGCGGTTTAAAGCTCATTAAAATTGGATTTGTTAACTTTTAACTAAGAATTTTGTTTATTTGTTGGCTTTTACACTCTATTTTTCCTGGAGTAACGATGATCTTTGTCGCTTATTAGATCAGGATCGCGGCGGTTTACAACAATTTTGAATCCATGGACAGCCATGGGAAAAGATTTTATGTCCTTCCTCTAATAAGTTAAATCTAAGCATGGGTTATTTTAAATTGCGACCAAATCAATTTAAAACAAATTCCATATAAAGTTGGGTTCAGTTCAAAGGAGAGCAATACAAAGAAAAAATAACAACAACCCTTTTCCTGGAGAGGCTATTACTTTCTATCAAGAAAACAAAGGAAGTGGTTCCACGTTTGCAGCCATGGTATAATACTAGTCGCCTTGTCTTTGACTTCTCATTGACTCCAAATTTTCTTGTCCGTCAGCAGCCTCCTTTTCTCGCAGTTTATAATTTGTATGACCAAACATTGAAGAGATTCGTGATAATTTAATTTTGAAGGTTGACATCCCAAACAGAAGTCATTAATCTCAAATTCGATTTGTTGAACCTTTCTTTAATTATGCATGCACGTACCTTTCGACGTTTTATGGGTAAAATTAGAATTCTAAATTTTGGGCATAATTTAGGAAAAATTTCCTTTGTGTGACAATTAAAACAACGCCTTCACCAGCCACGGTATAATTTTTATAATCTGTCGCCTCGTAATTTGGAACTGGCCTGTACACTCCCAGTTGAGTTCCTTTAACATTGGCAAATAATTATATTTCCCGTTGGGTTTTCAAGACACAGGGACCTTTGTTCACTTTAGCGCAAACAAAAGATGAACGAAAGATGCGTAATTACGCGAAAGCAACGTCTGAGATCGTGGTCAATGGTATTTCGAAGTTTCTTTTTTTTTTTGCCTGCTGTTGTTGGCTTTGTTGTTAGCCTCGAAAATAAATATTCTTGCTAAACGTCAACAAAACACAATTTCGATCCTTTTTTTCATTGCATTTATTAGCCAAATATTGGACAATCTGCCGTTTGAAGCTTTATTGCTCAAAGTTCATATTACTTTATCTTACTTTGGCCGGGAGAGTTGTCATTTTGAGTGCACCAGATAAGACAGTGGACTGAGTGTCGCCCGGGCAAGACCGCTATCTTCAAAGTAATTACTCGTTATTGCATGACCATGCCCTATTGAAATGTACAGAAAGCGCCTCGCAGGTGAAGCATGTTTGTGCAGCGTCGCACCCCGCCTTATTTGCATATATGATCAGGCAAACAAAGGAAAGAAAACGCGGCCAGAACATTCTCCGCGGTTGCTGTACACCAAGGTTGCGACGTATCAAGCAACTGTCCGGACAAGCTGTTACTGTAACCTTTTTTGAAGGAGATCAGAGAAATGAACTTGCAACTGCTTCGAAAGCTGCTCCTAGTGGGTGTAGTTTGGGCTTACTCTATAACAAAAGGATATAGTTCAGGTATGTTTAGAGTTTTTGTCATTATAGTACATCATTGTGTGTTTTTGACGATAATTTTGTATGCTTCATTCATCGCAGTAGCTGAAATTAGACAGGTCTTTTTCTGAGGGATCAAATCTGCAGCTTGTTCATCTTTGAGATCAATTTGCACATCTAGCTTAAACACATAGCTTGTGCGCACCAAAATGCAGCTGGAGTAGTACAGCTTTCGTCCTGGGGCCTTTTAGTCGAGTTTATACTCGCATCTGTTGTGAAGTATTTCGCAAATTTTGGTTGAGCGAGTTACGGCTCTTTTTCCATCGAGATTTTCGTATGAAGGGCAGGCTTTTATTGCAATGCACACTGAAAAATTAAGGTATTCAAACGGATTGCTGCTTTCATATCATTAATCGACACATGGGACGGAATCCTTTTCCCACGAAAATTAGTCATTACTGGCCTAAAGATATGGATTGTTTGCTCCAAGAGTTCAGATTTAATTTTCGCTTTGACAGCTTTTCTTTTCCCACGAGGTGTCATTTAGTCTCAATTTACAATGACATTTTATAGTTTGTGGAATGATAAGAGCTATTCTCAATTATTTTTTTAAACTTCGAATTAAGTTCCTAGACTGTGCTAAGTAATTGAGCCATTAAACTGATTGCCTGCGGCGTAATAGGTTAAACTGTAGTCAAGATTTTATAGTTTGTTTGAATGCTTTGATATTCAATTTTAGTTAGATTACTAAGTGATTCGGGTTGACACCCGCTCCATGTATGCAAAGTTTGAAATTTATTACGTGCGAATAAACTTGACTTGAAGTTGCCTTTTAATTGCATAGAGGAAACTTCTGCCTGGCTGCCTCTAATTTGACAAGTGCGACCTAAAACCAATTAAAGTCACAGTTGGCCTTGAATCATTTTTGCGTAGAGAAAGAACTAAAAGAGTAAACTTTTCTTGCCTGCTTTGGAATCAACTTCTAAAACAAATGACATAATTACTACTTCTGAATGTCAACAGCAAAAAGTAAAAGGTTAGTAAAGATCTTA